CAATTTTAATTCATAATGATTGGCAGGCGCGAAGACAATTCAATGGTTTTCGATCGGCGTCTGTACGATGAACATGAAGCACATCGACGTCATGAGGAACTACTTCGAAAAGAACAGCTGATGATTGTTGAGCGAGCTCGAGCTCAAGCTGCGGCAAGGTCACGGCTGCTCAAGCAGGATGTAACCAAACCACGTGCTTGGTTACAGGTTTGACGTCAATTTCACCTACTCTATTTTTCACAGACCTGCCAAATAAATTACTGCCGTTGTCCTCGGTTGGCTCTAAAGTATGCTAAAATAACTTTTAAATGATAAAAAAGGGACAGAGTGTAGTCATCTGAGCACTTTCGGGTGAAATTATTCAAATGCAAGCCGAAGTGTTTTTTCGACTACTTGCCTCTTACTCACTAAAAAAGCATATTCTAACTTTGTTTCTGTTGATGATGAAGACTCATTATTTTGTAATACCAGTAGCCGCTCTCCCTTAAAAGCTACAGCTCTAAAGGAAGATTCCGAACTGAAGGTGAAAAATATGATGTCAGCCTCCTATTCCGAGCTGAAGCTCGGAACTAAGATGTTGACCCAATTTTTTTTTGAAATTTAACATGGAGCCCAGTCCAATTACGGCCGACCTGCTGGTTCGTCATTGGTGCTATCGGGTTTATTTTCATTCTTAAAACACATTTTTCTACAGTTTCTCTTTTTCTTTTGTGGTAGCGATAAGCTTTTCATTATTCTTGGAACTTTTTGGTGACAGCCGTCTAAATTTCCACGTCATTTTTCTTTTTTTCACCAAAGTATTTCTCCACTAAATGGAATGGTGCTAGTGTGAGACTATTTGTTCTGCATCACCTTTTAATTCCAATGCGTTGCACTACTGTCATTCCTTAGTTTGCAATTCTTCATTTCCCTATCCTGCATGTTGGATAATACCTAGGTGGAGCTGATGGATGTACGACCTGTTGACAATCGTCGAGCACCACCTGTTCTGACGGTGCGCAACTATCGGCCGTTCGATCTGAAGAGCATTCGGTCCGATGCTGGCGAACGTAGTACAACAACTACCGAGACGGTTATCCGACACTCGACTGCAACATCAAGAACAGAATCCCAGCATGACACCCAGATCGGCCTGGTTTGTTCTAGCTGTTGTGAAAAATCAAAGATACATTCTTGCCATTTGTTCCTGAGAAACCAGTTTTCATTTACTGCACTACATACCTGCCACATTTCAAAGCATGCTCACAAGTCTACGTCGTTTTGATTCCAGCTTTGTTTGATATCACAGCTTTTTGTCCCAACGAAGTGAAAATGAGCAACTGGCGATATTGTTGAAATCATTAGTGATTGGTGGTTGTCTACTCCATAGTCATTTAAGGAACGTTGTCCCTATTCGACAAATAGCTCAAAATATCTATTACGAAAGTAGTTGTTTATCCCGGACGAAGCTATATTGAAATCAAACCCGATGCGAAAACGACATGCATCACCGAATGTAATGTCACCGCGCATCCATTTCTGTCTCCGGTGGTGCTAATCGAAAAACATTTGATAGCATCTATGCGTTCGGCAGATGCTTTTAAAGTATCAAATGGCTCTAATCCCTTTATTCAGTTTTAAGTGTAACAGCTGGCACGGCTTGTCAACAATTTAGTGAGCGCGAGGCCGTCGCAAAACACGACCGAAGTATAACTTTCCATTCACCGCTTTCGGATCTCTAATACATTCTTTGTTTTCGAAACGTCTGGACACCCATGTCGGCCAAGAACATCGTGCAAATTTTCCAGAAGAATTCTAAGGCAAAATCTGACCTATCCGTCTTAAAAATTTAAAAAAATGCCATTTGAAATGTCTCTTCATTTGGAATGTTATTTGAACACCAAAAGTTTATTTTAGCAGGTTTTTCAAGGCTTCTTATCTTATGCATTTTAGGTGATGAATTCTAGTGATGCTAAGGGGGAAGAACAAAATGAAAAGAGTACAGCGTCCACTATAACGACACCGAGATCTACAACAACGTTGACAACTGCCACAACCGAAGCGTTGCAGTCATCTACGTCGTCCGATGCAATGAAGGAAAAAATTTCGTTAAATCCGACAACTTCAGTGGTGTTGCCAACGACTACGACAACAACGACATCAACTGTACGAACGATGTCAATTGTACGAACCACTTCAGAATCACCGACTACTACGACAACAACTTCCACATCTACCACCACTGCCACTACGAAGATCTTCTCAAAAGCGCATTCCAATCATCAGCGTGTTTTTATACCAGCACAGAATGTGACGAGAGCTTTCCGTCAAAAAGTGACGAAGAGCAAGCTTCACGATGCTTCCATAGCGTCCAGTTCAGCGGTTTTCCTCGCGGTGATCATTGTGTCTGTTTCGTTTCTGAGCTAGTTCATGCCTTCTGTCTCCATTTATTTGTTCCACATTTTCTTCCGTACAAATGTTTTTGCTCACTACTACGGGTTCCAGTCTTATTGCAATAGTCGGCAAGCATCCATCATTCTACACACGTCGGTTGTTTGTGCACAGAATCTAATAAAGAATTTTTATTGGGTTTTTTGTGAAAACGTCATGGTGTTCGCTTTAGTAGAATACCCAACGGTGTTATGAAAGGTGCATAAAAACTTATAGATGGAACTTGTTAAATCTTATACCTCTAAAAAAATTGAAGGCTGAGAACTGAACTTAAATTCTTTCTATTTGAACGGCTGACTAAACGTAGACAAGGGAAAAGAAGAAGGTAAGATTCTCTTTTCACCGATGCTGTATGAAATCGTGTGAAAAGGAGGAGGAAAAAAACTCGAATACTATGTAGGTACAGGATAAAAGATGAGGAGTAAGGCGTTCGACGCTGATTAATCCCTGAGATAGGCACCATACATTGGACTTCATCAAACATCGTTAGAGATGACTGAATTCATATTTGGCCAGCACAGTGACTGGTAGCTGCTTATTGATGAATCGAGTCAGTGCTATTATCCTCCCCGACAAGTTTGGTACCAGTTTGTCGACTCGGAACAATGTAATACTTCGTGGCCCGAGAAACAGGGTCGATCCGAAGGCCATGCGTTCGTTGCAGGACGTCTCGAACCACTAGACCACGTGCGCACTGTAGTTTGGAATGAGCCAACTATTAGCAGCGTTGTAGCACAGTTGTGTTATCAACATCGTTCACGAAGGATTCTTAATAAATTGGGTAGTAACTGAGATGTCTCCGTACGACGAAACCTTGCTAATAATCTTCAGGCCGTCCATGTTTTCGAGAATCAATTAGAAAACTGCTTTTTCTCGAAAACCCACCGTTTTATCTGTTCTCCACCAAGGAAGAACAACGGCTTAGAGTCGCAAATGGTTAATTACTGCGCCACTCCACGTCAAAAATCAGTTCTGAGATACGCAGTTAGACCACGCGTTATCACAGGGCTTTCTTCCCTGCTGTTCATTCTCCGATTTCTCGCATTTATCCAAAAAGCCTCGAAAAGTTTACTCGTTGGTGTTTTAGTCTCCCATGCGATGATAGCAACTTTTACATCAAAATCTTCTTCGCTATGCTTTTGTATCCTATGCGTCCCTAGTGGGGTAGTTTGCTAGGCTTTTCGTTTGCTATTTAGGTGCTCTTTTATGTGGATACATAAGGGTCTGCCCGTTTCATCAATATATTCATTTTCGCAATTATGACAAGAGATCAGATGTATCGTACCTGAACTCAAGCAATCACCGTCTCTGCCGTAAGGGCAAATTACGCAATTTGTTGTTTCACACAGACGGTTATACAGGCGGTTACGAACTAATTGACGACGTAGAGTAGCCGGTAGTATTTCAACTACCGCCACCGATTCCTCTAGACCTGCCCTTCTTAAGCATCGTTTAAAAGCTACGCTTACTTCATCGCTAATAAAAGGCAGCATAAACGGGACTTTCTTCTGGCCACGTGTTTCGCGTCGGCGCGTTGCTCTCCTTCTAAACTTACCTCGTGGGGTTAATATTTCGTAGCCACTGGAGATGGCTATTTGCCTAGCCAAGTCGGGCGATTCTTCCCATAGTTCCCTGATTTGTGCACACAGAGGTGGCTGTTTGAAACATGTTTCTCACAAGCGCCCTCTTTGTGTGTGAAGGGTGGTAAGAGAGGAAATGAACGAGGATGTTCTTGTTACTTGGCTTTCGATACCACTTTGTCATGTAACCGCTACTTGATAGGTTTATTTGAACGTTTAATAACGGAAGCCAGTTTTTTCTCGGTTTCTCACCGGTGAACTTAATGTACTCAGAGTACTCGTTCAATAATTCGAAGCATTTGTCTATCTCCTCCTGCGTGGAGAAGACGACAACACAATCATCTATGTAGCTGCAGTAGAGTGAGTAGTGGCCGGAGACTGAGAACGGGGGCTTCTACTTTAGGCATAAGCGCAAACATATATATATACATATATATATATATATATATATATATATATAAAGAACAAATAAAGCTCTTGGCGTTGATCAATTCCTGAGCGATGCGCCATGCATTCGACTTCATCAAGTATCGTAGGAGGTGATTGAATGCATATCTGGCCTTTACAATGACTCGCGGTGGCTTACCGATGTATCGAGCCAGTGCTGCTATACTTCCAGACAAGTTTGGTGCCAATTTGCCGACCCCGGAGAGATAGAAGGTTTGGTGGGCCCTGGAATCGAAAGAACTATAGAGAGAAATCATGTACGTTACTGTCAACTAGAATTATACGAATTAAAACGAAATGTTCGGATCCATAGGTTTATGATTCCATTCGAATGAATCGCAGTTGTATCTGTACATTTACATCCACGTTTTATGGAACAAGAGAGGTTTCAAAGTGATATGTCCATATCAACGATGGTGAATTGAATGATAGTGCCCATCATTGAAGCAATTAAAGAACAATTCTTACTATTTCATTTATTATGTCCACAAGGTGTAGCAAAACCACCATCTTTTGGAGCTTCAGTGGTTCATACGACGTGCTTCAGAACACGGAAATCTTCCCGTTCTGAAGCATTTCACGAAGTCGATACTTTTGAATCTTTGTGTGTATTCGGGGAAAGTCGCGTACAAATGCGAACAAGTCAGGAACCGAGAACTGAAATCAAATGATGAAGATCCAAAACAATTAACAACGAATTTAAGAAGAGTCATTGCTACTAAATATTTTCTTCTGGAATTCATTCATGATGGAATACTCTTATTCTTCGATTTACCCGCTACTAGAATATCTGTGAACGTTCTTTCCTTGAAATTCTCACCGTCATGACAGAAAACTCTCCACTCCTAAACGGCGTTGCTTTTCTTAGAAAGTTCAGTGAGTTTTGTCAACTGAAAACTTTAAGATGGCACTTACAACTAAATTAAGAGAACGAAAAATAAGCTGCTATGATAATTTGAAACCATAAAGAAAAATAGGTAAAATATGAGTAAAACATTTTAGGTATTACAAATATTTCATTACAAGACGGCCCGAGTTCAAAATCACTCAATCGGTTCTTTGTCTCACGTCCATTGCCCACGAATGTCCTCAGATGCAAGTGTAGATTTGGCGCTGCTGTTTGACGATCTATTGTCTTTTTAATAAATGCTGCACAGAACTGGTCAAGTCAATTGTCCCTGGAATTCTGGGATAGCCGTGCTAGGGCGTTTACAGCTTTTCACCACACGTGGTCTTCAGCTTTTGTGAAACGAGGTGAGTTCTCTCCAGACAAGTGTGGTACCTTTTTAAGACCCCGGGAACAGGCTTGATTGAATCGAAGTTAAGTCTGATGGCGAATTTGCTCATATTGAGCGACTTCTTTACCACTGCGCTAATTACAGTTAGCAAACTTTTCTCTTCCCGATGCTTTTAACTCTTACAGTACTTTCTTCAAACTTTAAGCACCAACATCTGGAGATGTACACAAAAACACCACCACTACTTTTGTTGATTGTGATTGATTCTTCTTTTTACTCCCACTATTTTAGTTACCTGGTGAGTTTTGCACATTGCTGCCAATTCGGACCGAACATAAGCGGCATTGGACTGTGGGTTGCGTAGCACACAAACCGCCGTGACCGGTTTACCACGGCCGACTGACACTACCTGAACGAAGAAGGAAGACGTCTACTACTTATTGATGAATAAATAGCGAACAAAACACCAACACCGAACTTGATGTAATTTTTTTAAAATTCTGTTCTAGTCACAAATTTAATCCAGATAAGACCCTCTTCATCATCAATGAAGTAGTAGAAAACAATTCCAGCTGCTGATGAGGACAAGATGATCGACTATGATGAGGCAATGAGATGAATGCTTTTAATGATTCGTCTCTGTGCATTCTCAACTCGGAGCTCACGATTTGCTTAAAGCAGTTTTTCAGTAATAAGCAACTTCTCTCCACTATCGAAGGAACGGACAGATTTTGTTATCTTTGAACTTGGGTCGTGCTGACATCTAACTAATTTGATAATGCTAACTTTTTTTTATTTCCTGCCTATTACAATTTTTCATTGCAGGGTGTTGCGTGTGAAACAACCACAATGATGCTGAGATATTTACAAAACTTCGGACAGCAGGCGTTTGCGGTGGGGAACGAATGGGGAACGAATTCGCTATTATCTTTTCTGGGGGCTTACGCGTTCACCACCACGCCGTGGGGGTCCTTCGTTTCGCCTGTCTTTCAGCTACCTCTATCGATCAGCGCCATCAGCAATCACCTGTCAACGGGATTGATCTAGTGAGCCCAAATCGGCAATGAACCCAGTTAAGCTGAGGTTGCAGTCGAAATCACAGTGTTAACTTTTTTATTTACTGCCTATTGGTAGGGTATTACGCTTGGAACAACAACCACAATGATGCAAATAATTTGATAATTTTTTCGTTAACTGAAGTCGCATTTCTTATAAAACAGCAATAATTTTGGCAAAGTTGCAAATTTCGCAACGTCTGAAACTAGTAGGAATTTGAGAAAGCAGCTTTTTTAGTCTCATGGTAAAACGGAGTGAAACGTTAGTGCTAAAATCAGCATCGGAACAATTCTTGTACTTGGGGTATCTGAATTTAGTTCTACCACCTACAACGCAAGCATTCCAGATCGATTTGTCCCGCTCACAAATGCTCTAAGTCACCTGAACCCCTTTGATCAGATCGTTTTGGTTAAGAAGGCGTTCAATATTCCAGTGCTCAACGATGCCGTTGTTTTTGTCATAGATCAGATCCTCTCTGTTGGCTACGATTTCGATGCTTCCCTCGGCGTCCATTCGAGCTACATCTCTAAAATTAGAATACATATGAGTGGAGGAATGTGTATTAGTTCACAGTTTAATAATAATCAGAAAAAATTACAGTAATTAGCAAAAAAGAGTGAAATAACTTTGACGTCACCGTCGTCAGGATTCAGCTTGCAGAGTGACAGAAATGACTAACTAGAAGAAGAAGAAAATTTCGATACTTACGATAACCAAATAGACGAGAAAACATCCCGATTATTAAAACTAATTTCGCTCTTGACGTTGCTCCAAGAAACCAGAGAACATCTACGATCTTTACAATGGAGAACATCACCATAATATGCCGCAGAATAGATATTTTTAGTGCAAAAAGCCCTCGAGTTGTTTCATGAAGAGCTTAAATTTGCATCGAAGAGCTGATGTTTCAACACGAGTAATGAGTGATCAGTCAGGAACTCGGAACGTTGCGCATAGTAGAGCGATCTGATTTCCTTTAGGTGGCACTAAATGTCGACATTCTCCAACCTGAGCTCAACAACATCCTGAAGCGCTCGTTCTGGTTAATCTCTTACGAATGGAAATTAGGTAATAGATGGGATCAGAGCACTTTGTGACTTTCTAGTGGAAAGTGCAATTTACGTGGTGATGATAGGCTATGTGGAAATATGCGAATGAAGTAAAAACTACATTGTCTTGCGCTTAAACAGCGCTGCTGTGCTCGCCCATTGTGGTAGATTTTCGTTATATGAGTGATGTTGCGTAAACTGTCTCGTTTCATTGCATATATGCAGCGACCTTTGAGAAACACCCAATTATAAACTAGCATGGCCGCCTCGGAATTTTGAAGAGAATCGTGCCCAGCAAGCATTCTAAGATGGACAACTAAGGTGACCAAACCCCAATGCCCAGATGAACGCATTCATGAATTTGACAACCTCCGTGGCTGACTGGTGCACGACAGCGAAACAAATTGAAGAAACTCTGGAGCCTAGATGTCATGTGAGCACAAATCATCCAACTATAAGGCACATTCCCAAACTGCAATTGTTGGAGAAAGTCACAGCTGTAGTTGATCACAGTTGATTTACGGCTTGTTCGCTTGTTGATTTTTCAGAATGCATTACATGTGATCAGTTCCATAGTGGGCCATCATTAACAAATACTAAGCTTTTAAATTTTTTCAAATCGCAGTACCAGTCATAAATCGATGATCTCACCCGGTGTCAACCCATTTCTCTTTCCCGTTGATGTTAGGAGCATAACCCATGAACGTGCTGCCGTAGTAAACACGAATCTGTAGCAAGCCAAGCTCTCCGAGTTCTACCTCACTTTTTCCATTCAATGGTGTGAGACGCGTCTAAAACAGATGAAGTTTATAGCACGTTGATTTTCCAACATTTAGTTTCAAACTCTTCACATTTCTGTGGTCAGCGTGTAGAAATTCCGCTGTTATTCAGAAAGTGATTCAAAGAGCTCATTTGAACATTCCTACTTTGACTTTAGATTCTTCCCTCCAACTCTTCAAAAAGCCTTCAACTTTAAATGTCAATACTGTATTTCGAAAACCGATTTTCCTTCAATCTTGGTGCAACTAATCAATAATATTTTCTTGGACGATTAAGCTAACACGAAATTGATAAAAATTTATTATCCGACGTTTCGACGTCTTCGTCTATTTCAGAGCCGGATTGATCCCAGTTCATTGTCCGCAGTTGTTCGTCTTCATGATGTGGAATCTCGCGTCGAGTCGAATGCGAGAGTGAAGCACCACTTGAATGAAGAAACTACACTCAGCGACGTCTTTTTACCTAGGACGATTGATCTGCTGCCGTTCGATATGACCAGCTGATTTCATTCATAGTCCTCCGGCTTACTTAACTGTAGGGTTTTAGCAGAATCGACTTGTAGAAAACGACTTTCGTATACAAAGAAGTGTTCATGCACGCATGTACGAGAACTTTGAATCAAACTGGTTTAGCAGAGCCGATAAGCCTTTCCTTGCCCCCATCTGTTTCTCAGGGATACCATGATGCTTAGCCCTGTATGATCCACCTTGGAAAGCACTGAAGAGCCACGTGTTTAATAACCGACTAGGGTTTTTTCGCACGATTCCAATTTGTTGAAAAAATTAATCTGATCTTGAACACCTGTGTTTATGACGATTTTTTTTAAAATTTTGAACTTATAACCACAACGTTGCTGAGATATTTGCAAAACTCTGGACCG